GCAACTTTAATGGATTCCAAGTTTCACCTGCCACAACAATCAGTATTATTATATATCCTTGGCAAAATCTGGGACGACTGAACACACATACCACTGAGATATTCAATCCAGCTCTGTACCGTCTCTGGGGGATCTGTTTCCTTAATGTGTTTGAGTGCCTCATCGAGTAGAACATCGCCCGTCTGCTGATCCGATTTCAGAATTAATTTTCTGTAAAACAAAATATTAATTAGCTTGCTTTTTTCAAAGATCTGCATATGCATTTGTTTTTAATTATATACCTTGTACATAGGCCACGTCGTCGCATTCCAGATTTCTCAATCATCACGCGGCCGCGCAGTCCAAGTTCTATGAGAATGCATCCGCGCAAACCGCTTGATATGCAGTCGTTCCAGAAAGATGTGTAGCCCTGAATATAATTAAAAATGTTATTTATAGATTTTTACTACATAGAGCTTAATGGGAAAAATAATAACTCTTATTCTGAAACTGTGTCAGCATCGAAATGAATATTTATATCGTTTCCATAGTTTATTTTCAATTTTTATTTTTAGAACCATAACAAAGTGTTACTTTCCCATATTTCAAGGTTTCAAAATTTAAATGTCTAAGTCTGCGAATCAAGCAAACAAAAAAGCGTTGGTCTGTTCATATTTAAGAGTGAAAAAATGAATAATTAAGTCGTTGCCAAGTCGTAAAGCTCTCTGACAGCAATATTCACCTGTTTAAACATTAAACACTTGAGTTGGTTTAGGTCTTACCTATCAAGGTGTAAGAAATGACACTGTAAAAGGAACCACTAAAAGAAATGCTCCGAAAACCTAATGGAATTTTTTATTTTCTTATTGGTGAGGTATTTTTCCAAAAAAAAGGTGCACAAAAATAGAATGATAATTTCAGTTAATTTATCTAAGCTTATCAATGCCTGTAAAAAACCCATAAAAGTCTGATAATAGTTTAATGCTTATTGGAGATACCTTAAAATAAAATATACGTACGTTTTTTTTATCATAATGAACATATAGTGAACATGAAAATTAAAGATAATTTAAGGTAATTATACCAATAATTAAACGATAAGTTCAGGTACCAACAGTCTTTCATGACATTACATTTTATATAATCATCGATAAGGTATCGTTCCGAATTGAAATTTATAAAAGTGAATCATTTGCAGGTTCAATAAAAGAACACGTCTCTTATCAGCAACTTTTCGTGGCACTGGTGGATACCATACAAGTACATTGCATGGTTTCAAAAAATGAATGACGTACTGATGATAAGAAAGTCCCAAAGAAAAATGGGAAGCGGATGAATGCGAGGAACGAGAGAACTTGGATAGTATGTACTTCCTCAAACAATTAACCAAATGGATGAAATGTTTCTGATAAGAGCACAAAGAAGAAGAATGTAAAACAAAAGCGAGCAACAAGCACACGTCCCACAGTTTCCATCTCGTTTCGCCCCTTTAGGGGTGGCTATGGGGTGGGCATACACATGCACTGCAGGCAAAATAATGAAAACAAATAGACGTGGTGTCACCCACAAAGACACACATGCCATATTTCTATAGGGTATACAGGCGCACAGCAATTGAGCGATAAAGCTGCGAGGCAAGTGAAATACAAAAAGCGAATCCAATGGAGAAATGAGAATCTGCCGGTTCGCAGTAATGGGGCACGTATGGATGCCGATTCGGCTCTACGGACAATCATCCCAAAAATATACGCAGATTTATGAACATTACAATCGTATGCAAATTAACCACTTATTGGAAAACTCGTTTGATGGAATGCTCTCAGAGCCCCGAGACGAGTTTGCTTGAGTGATGTTTTTAAAGAGCAATGGTTACGCGTAGATATTTCAGCCTAAACTACACTACCTTCATTTATACTATCTAATCGAAGAAATATATGTGGGTGCTATGTTCTCAAGAGCTATTCATATAGTGAAGAATTCTTAGAAAAGTTTAAAGTAACTACCCCTCCGTATTGGTAACACATAAATATTACTTTATGATTTAAATACAATAATAGTAATGGCAATAATCAAAGTGGTTCCTTCCGAGAGTCTATTATAATGGAATTTTTTCTCTCAACCAGTTATATGACTATTAGTTTTTAAACAGAAAAATACTACAACCACTTTAAAACAAAAAGTCGGAGTCAGTAGCACGTTTTTAGTTTGAAAAGATTGGAGAGAACGTCCGATAAGGGTCTTAAAAAAATACATATGTACGTCCCGACTCTTATTAATGGCAATAGCGCACGTTGTTAGGAAAATGGTGTTGGCACTCTTGCTAATTGTGCATTGCTCACCAGTCTGGTCAAAAGATTTGATGGTGTATTGCTCAACAAACTGGAAAAGCTTAGGAGAAGTTGGTAAGACATGGGTGGCCTTATCTTTAAAAACTAAAAAAGGGGGTTCACATTAAATGGGAAAAACAGTTCCTAAAAAGTCCAGATTGGGATTTCCTCCACACAAAACATTTTCTAGAAATAGTATTTCAATACATTTATAAAAATAATCTATTATCATCTACACTCAATACAATTGGTATGGGTAACTGGAAGAAGGCACTTTCCGCTCTATGAAGTAGGTAATAGAAACCTTACGAATAGCAATAGAAACGACGAACAAATGCTATTAAACTCCACTATAGTTTTGAAGATACATATTTATGACTGGTGTCAACTAAATAATTTTTCCAATTTCGGGCCTGTTCAGTTAAATATTACAATAAGAAATAAATGTAGTTAAATCAACTATGCTTCGAAGTAACGTAACCCTATCGACATCCCAACCAATTTCCGAAAAGCTATGGTAGTATTACTCATTTGGTTAGCCCCCTTTTAACTAAGCCCCTGTTTGAAGATGGACCGCGATGCACTTAAGGCCAAACAAAAGGTTGCGAAAGAGAGAAAACGAGAGAGACAGACGTCTGTTAACAGGTGAAGAAGAAGCAACCTTTGTTGTGGCGAAAGAAACCAATTAATTAGTCGATCGTAAGGTGATAAGAGATAAGGTAAGGGAAGGAAACACGATTACGGCCCACACCCACCTCCTTGTCCTTGAGTCCCAGCAGCAGGACCTCCTCCATGAGCGTCAGTCGTGTTTCCTTGGAGTCGCCATCGTCGATGTTGTCCTCCTGGTCCTTCAAACTGTCCAGTGCATCCTGATTGTCATCCGGTGTGTTGGCATTCAGACCGCCCTCGGCGCCCCCGTTTTCCCGGGGTTTCACCGATCGTCGCACCAATCCGTCAGAGCGATTCATTCCGGAGATTTGCCGATTTGGAGTTTTGGATGTTCGAAAAGTTTTGGGGTTTTCGTTGATGGAGGGAGTTTTGGAGATGTGAGAAGAGCACCTCTGTTGCTGTTATTTTTTTCCTCCACTTCTTCCTCTTTCTCCGTTTTGTGTGTGTGGCACAATTTGCTGACTCGACGCTGGAGTTGTATGGGTGTGCGGGTGTTTTTTTGCGCTTTTCTCTCTGTGTAGGTATTTTGTGTTTTTGTGTGTTGTTGTCTTCACTGCTTCTCTTGCGTTGTCCCCCCCTTTTTTACTTTGTATTCTTTTGCACACACGCACTTTTCACACTCTCGCAAAATTGCAGTGGCCCTCTGAACTGCGTTTCGTTGTTGTTGCTTTTGCTCGGGGGTTCTTGCGCTGGAAACTCCACAATGTATCTCACAATTTGGTGGCGCGTACTAAATATGCAATTTCATGGTCTTGCATTTACTTGAGATATGCGAATGCCTGCGCAAAATAAGCTTTTTTCCTATTATTTGTGTCTTTTGTCGTTGCTTTCGACGTTCCGACGTGACATACTTTCGGCACTTTCTAGCACTGCACCTGGGCGGTGTTGGAAAACGTTGCGATTCTAGAGAGGAGCTGCTGTAAGGAGCCCAGGAATATGATTTAAATTATTTGTAGGGTTTAACATACCTTTGACTATTTGTGGCTAAATTTAATAAATATTATTATTTATATTTTTCCAGCCAATTATAGCTGTTTGAAGCAACCCGCCAAAATGGAAAACCGATATTCTCGCAGATATCGATAACAACAAAATCAAGAGTCTAATATTAAAGAAAACTGTCCAACAACAAACTTTTAAAACTAGCATACATCAGTTTATTTTAATTAATAGTAATATTTATACAAATAACTGCTTGCAAATTATTTAATGTTTACAAATATTAAAAAACGTAAACCGATATACATCATCTACCGATAGTTCCTGTCCCCGCATGACTCATCTCTAACTAAAGGGCAAAACAAAACCAGCTAAGTGTTGAATATTTCTTTTAAATAGATTAAACACTGCCAATTAACGTTTAAAATGTCCTATTTGGCCAACTTCAACAATGAGAGTGCCAAGCAAATACTTATGGATATAATACGATGTGTCAATCAGCCGGAAAACTCCAAGAAACTATCAGAAGCAAAGGCGTCCGCTGGAAAAGAGATGATTCTCATGATGCAGCATGTAAATAACAACAAAATAATCATAAATTCCATAAGCTTTAATGGTTTTTGCAACACAGGTGTTTCCCTTGGTAATGCAGCTCCAGTTGGAGGTCATCAAGGGTCATGGCTTTCCCGGAAACCGCGAGGGATTAGTGCAGTTCTCGCAACTCATCAGGGAAATGGAGCGGGACGACATGGAAATTGCACGCCTGCGCAGTCAGATCCGAGCTATATACCTGCCACCCATAGCTATAAATACCACAAACGATATCCTAATCTAAGCGGGGGGTAAATCCCCTAAAACAAGACTGTAAACTGGCCTGTTTCGTAAAGATTTAAGAATGCAGGTGATTTATATTCTTTATTATTTTAAATCTCCCATTTTTTTTTTATTAATCAGCAAAAATATAGTTTAAGTTCTTATATTTCTGACAAAAAATGTTAGAAAAAATAAATTATGATAAATAGAAACCCGAGACAGGCCCATTTAATAGACTTAAGCTTGGTGTTCTTATAAAATGCATTTCTCTTGATAAATTTGTGATCTTTTGTGTATTTTTTTTGTTGATGTACAAATGTTTTTCTTGTTCTTGCTAACAATAAGTAACATGGCAAAGCTTGCTATAAACAATTAAGGATCTGTGCCGGTCCATCGTCAGCGTTGAGGATTTAGGATATGTCGATCAGTCACGGCGATAAAATAAACAGTTTTCTTCTTCGTACCTATATAATAAGTTCCTTAAGAGCTATACTTTTATGTACAAGTCAAGTAGTGAGCTGCTCATCCAGCCTTAATATTATTAACAATTAGGCGAGGATAACTAGTAACAATGTGGATTCCTAATGCGTGCTACCGCCATTTGTGGTGTTGGCATTGTTGTTATTCCCGTTTTCGAGGTCTGTTGCCGTCAGTTTAGCCGGATTAATGCTTCTTACATCGTTTCCGTTCAGTTTATGCTGTAGATGCTGCAGCTGCTGGGCGATATGCTCATCCTCCGCCTGCGCAATGCTCTCTATATCGATGGACATCGACATGGGCGAGTGGGGCGTAAGTGGAGTCACGGGATTGCTGACGCACAGCTCCTCAATGGTCGAGTCGCTGTTACTTGAGGGCGTCGAGGAGCGTGATCGCACCGGATACGAATCGTCCAGGGGCAATGCAAAGCCCTGCGTGATCATCAGATCACCAATATTCAGTTCTGAGTTATCTGCAGGATCGAACAGTTCCACTCCGGGCAGCGGTGTGCCCTCCTTAGCGGCTGAATTAACTGCAGTTGTTGCCTTTGGGCGCTCCTTGTAGGTCACCACTCGAGCAATCAGCTTCCTCCAGTGCGCCACTAAAAATTGTCGGGGTTTAATCATAAATATATCTTAAGCGTGTGGATCGAAACATACCCTCTGTAAGCTCCTCGAACTTGGAGATGGATGACTTTGGCCAGGTGATGGGCTCCGCTTGGATGGTGGACTTTACATTGGCCAAGAAGCATTCAACAGCTTGGAATCTGAAATAGTTGAATTCGTATTTGATTAGACTATAGTTTTACCTTTCCGATTTGCAGACTTCTCACCTGAGCGTAAGGAAATCAGTGCGCAGCTCACAAATATCCGCTGGAGAAATGTATTCGCTGTCACCGTAGTCGACAAAGTACAGATCGATCACCTGCTCCTTTGGATTGTACTGGTTCGGCATAATGTCCACGATCTCGGCGCGATACCACTTCTCGTCGAACTTGAAGACGGCGGCTACAATCTGACCCACATAAGGAGCTGTGAGCACATGCTTTGCCCTATTCTCGGCACTACTATAGTAGCTGGTCATCTCCTGCACCATGTTATCCAGTTTCTTGGACTGCGGCCCGATCAATTGCACCCAGAACTTGCTGGGTGAGGCAACGGCTGAGACATAAACCTCCATTGGCTTCCCTTCGCCCTTAGAAGCCATCAGCTTATCCCTGGGTTGAGTGTGCGAACTCAAGGATGTCTGAGAGGAGTACAAGCTGGAGGATGCAATGCTGTTGGTGGGCGATCGACGTGGTTCCCGACGCTGCTCCACTTCCTCCATGGACCGGACCAGTTCCTCATCCTCCTCTATCTGATCATCGAGCATTTTTCGGGCTATGTTCACCTGCTTTTGATTGCCCACAATCGTGATCTTGGCCTTGCCATTCCGGCCATTCGGATCGATATTCAGCTTGGCCAGCGAACTGCTCCGGATCTCCTGGATGAGTTCGCCACCGCGTCCATTCAGTTTGTTGGCCAGTCTCTGGGGAACCTGCAGTTCCACCTTGACTACTGGTGCTCGCTCAATCTCCTTGATCAGCAGGACTCGAGCTGCTTTGACGGCATCGGGAACACCGCTAATGTCGCAGAATTTGTGACCACTGTCTTTGTCCCTAGAGGATAAAGTGGATTTTTATTAATAAGGGTGGGACAAATGCGAATACGAGCGAGGAACTCCTCGGTCGATAAAATTCAAATCCAATTACCGTAATCTTATCTTGGCGAGGGTCTTTTCTTCAATCAGCTTGATATTGGAACCACCACGACCCATTATCAGGGGCACATGTTCGTTGTCCACGACGATTTTGAGGCACACTTCCTTCTGGGGCTTCTGTTCCGCGGTCTGTCCCCTGGTCCCTGATGCCTGTTGCTGGTCCCTTGAGTCCCCTTCCTCCTCGTCATCACGGGTCTTAAAGTAGGCATATAGCATGGCGCCCCCAAGGGAGCAGAGTCCGAAGCCCAGTAGTAATTTGTAGGTGGGCGTGGCACCGAAAGGCGTGTTACGCAACATTCTGGCGAAGTGTGTGTGGGTGTGTGTAGTGGGTGCAGGATTTTGTGGCAGTCTCTTCAGCTCCGCCTCTCGTTTTTGTTATTAACTGAAATTAAATAATTAAAAAATTTTACTCAAGTTTGTAATGCTTAAAAAGTTCAAAAAGAAATATGATTTCACCCTTCACAAATCATTTGTAACAAGTTGTATTCCTCACAATAAGCCCAAATAATAATTAGCCTTCTTAAAAAAATTAAAAATAAATAAAAAACATTGAGAGCTCTAGTCAAGGTCTCTTTCACATGTTAATACCATTGCGTGTGCTTGGAAAAACAAAAATAGAACAAGTTCAAGACCACTTGATGTCCTAAGTCGACTGGTACAAGCATTAATGTCGTCTAATAGAATCAATAAATGCTTAGGGGTATGTTATATCGATGCACACTCCCCCTTTTCTTATATAATCCTATCACTCACTGGATATTAAGTTTGACAAATAGCCAACGACAAGGAAATTCGGCACACTATTCGCCAATGACTTCATAATTGAAATTGTTTAGGTAGACATTGCACGGAATAAATAGACGAGTGACGTTATATGCGGACACTAGACCACATAATTCAGCAACTTACAGCGATTTAATGCATTGTCAGGAAGATATTCGCCATTTAGGAACTGCGAATTTATATGCCGGGGGTTTCGAAAAACCGAAGAAATAATTTAGTGTTTTGAATGAAATGTCATGATTTGCTTAGAACTACAAAGAGACGAAAGTCATAAAATTCCCAGAGAGCACTTTTTTTTAATTGTACCACATAACTCAAGGCAATTGCGTCATCGTAAGAAATTATTATTATAATAATGTTTAAATTTACAAAAAATCTGTATATTAGAGGAAAATCCTTCAGGTTTTCTAAACAAGAATGCACTTTCCGGTATAAGTTGTGCATATTTATATTAAACCACTTGTTGGGCCTCAATAAATCACAATATCTCCGAGCTTTGCACTGGTTCTTGGACAAGTTAAACGGGTTTATGCGCTCATCGGCGTTATCATACCGGTTTAACCTTTGTGTTCCAAGCATGAATGCATTTCCTTAACACAAAACCCCCTTTATCTTCAACTGATAAAAAACGAGTTCTAATTATTTTTGCTCACATGTAAACAACCGAAAAATACACAATTAATTACTTATTTGGCACTGACCTTGATCGTGAATTTCGGTCGATGTTTATTCAAAGTTTTCTCACTGAGATGGGGCTTTTGTTTGGTAGTAAAAAATACGCTTAAACTCAATGAAGCGTCTTATTTCAAAGCCATTCGTTGTTTGGTTTTCACATTTTCATGTCTCGTTTTTCGTTCGAAAAATCGTAAATTATATTAGGGGGCAAGAAACGTAACGTTTAATTCCCGGGCGAAACTTGATTCCGCCTCCCCATTTCAGGCATAACTGAGGAAAACTTTTGAAAAGAGACGACCAAGCACTTTCGAGAGAGACCCACTCGTCAGCTGTTTTACGATTGCAATTTTGTCTCTCTATATGGTATCTATATCTCTCTGTTGTTTACTTTGCCGGTTGATTTGCAAATGGTATATTGTGAATTGTAGGAACTGGTAATTAACAGCGGTACTGGCATAAAGACAAATAATGGAAAGCAAACAACGCGTAAATTAGCTAACGGCCATATGTCTGATGAAAAAATAAAAAATAGAGGGACATACACGATGAGAAAAGATTGGAACCAATTTTTAAATCTTTCAAGTTTCCCTTAAAAAGGATGTTTTTGAGTAACCAATCTTATTTTGACAATATTAAGGTACAACGACTTTTCTAATCTTGGTGTAATAATATATATTTGATATATCTTTAAATAAAAAAAAAATTAAAGTAAATTAAAGTTTGTTTTTTGAAATTTTAAAAGGGAAAATAAGAAATTTTGGCTTCAGGTCCATCAATAAAATCAAGTAGTTTTTCAAAGGCACTGACATGATAAGTAAATATGGAAACTAATGGCTTTTATTCCATATATTTTATTAAAATATGATATTTTTCCCCGTGTAGAAAAGCTTGAAGAGAGCAAAAAGAGCGTAATGCGCAGAGTGCTAAATTTAGTGGAGTGACATAATAAACGGTTCGTTTCGTTTAAGTTGTGTTTTGGGTTCCCCACTTGATTTATTACCAAGTTTTTGAATGGAAACAAGAAGCTAAACCAATAACAATTAAAGCTTGCCCTAAGTTCCGATCTCTTTTAATTTTTACCGTTCTATTTAATGGGTTTTCTAATGCTCTACTTCCCCGGCGAAACTCATTCAAAAACGCTGCCAACAATTGTGCGTTTTCGTTTTTCGAAGGGGTCACGCGGTGAAAATGCCTGAGATGCGTTGAATTTTAGTTGGCAATGTTTCAAATTTTTTTTTCACAAACTTATTTATTGTCTCGATAGCTAAATAAAGCCAGATCAACAAGAAAAAGCTACGTCACTTAAAGGTATTTAATAATTCGCCAAAAGCTATTTGGAGAAACCTTCTTTGATCTTTCGTACAAAATATAAATAAACTTTTAGCCATGGCTTGAGTGTACATATTTGCATTTTAGATTTGTATGCGCTGCAGGCTTTAAACTTGAGAGTTCTTAATGGAAAACCAGTTTTTGGCCAGTCAGATTAAACAAAAGCCTCTGGGGTACACACTAAAAAGTTGAAAAGGTCAAGTAATCAGAAATTATTATCACAGCTATACCAATATTTAATATTTTTAGCTTAATTAGTGGCAAAGCGCTGTGCTGCGAATTCCGTAAGGCACTCACATGCTACATACATATGTACATATGTAGGTATATTTCCCAGCCCCCAAATTTGTACCTTCACCCCCTACTTACCCACAATATTTCTTCTGTATGGGTTCTAACTTTCCGTTCTTTCCATTCACTATGTCTTTTGCTATTTGCCTTTTTCTTATCACTTACTATTAACCATTCACTTAAGCCTTACGAGTGGAAGCACGATTTTCTGGGCCTTAACAATTCCAAATTTACGTCAGAAAGCAACAAAAAATAATAATGCCGCATAAAAACGTGCGAAGCGGTGTGACCGTTTTCAGATTAAAAAAAAAGCTGGTCTATATAACACAAAAGTGTTGTAAATCGCCGTATGGTAACGGTTATCAACTTAAAATCAAAGCTTAATTCAAATATCTCGTAGGCTCCCTTCAGTTCTGCAGTAGGGACGCGGTGACATGGCTCAAGGCAAAAAGCTTTTTTTGTTTTTTTTTTTGTGCCTAAAACGCTGTGCCGCTGTTGACGTCAGCAGAGCAGTCGGCGCAGCGTAGAAGACTGCCCACGAAAACGATCGTGCAACAAAGAGAGGCAGATATTCGGATATATCCCTCTCTTTCTTGTCTTATAATCTGCCTGCACTCCGCGCTCGCAGAGACAAATTTCGGCTGGTCCGTTATTTTTTTTGCGTCTCTCCGTTATGTTCGGCTAGCGACTAATATTTCGGCGGAAAAATTTTCGTGGAGCAGCGACATGTGAATGCCCTAATATTTTAGGAGCATTATTGTGTATCGAAAAAAACAACTAATATTGTTTTATAAAAGTAAACTATTTGATTATAGTAAAATTTAGTATATTGAATTTACTTATAATGTTATATTTACTTATTATACATTTTTATTACAATATAATTTTTTAGTTAAGTTATAGAAATTTAGTCCGTTAAAATTGATTTAAGTATTTAAAACATTTAAGTATTACCATTTAAAAAAAAATCGTATTGTATTTTTTACTCAAGAAGTAAAAACTATATAGTCGGATATATTTCACTTTAGAAAGGGTATAGGTGCAGTGGCACGCGCCAACAGCGAAGAGAAAACAAAAGAAATCTAGTAAAGGGGTGAGAAGACTTGGTGCATTCTGTTTGAGTGATTGAAAGGGAAGCATCCATTTTAATGGTGCGCAGCAGAGTTACTTTAATCGTTTAGTTAATATAATAAAGTCAGGTAAGTGCTACATTAAGTTTAAGATGTTGTGCATTGATCTTAGTTTAAAGTACGTAAATTTTGAAGGTATTCAATGGGTTCCGTTAGCCGAAAGTGGATGACGAAATGTTTTGTGCCAATAAAAATTCTGCAACAAGCTATAAAAGGTAAATATACAATTAAACAAATAAAACGCATTTTTTAAACATATGTTTTTTCAGGAGCGTTGGCCAAGGATTCAGAGGACCCGGACAAAGGTTTAAGAACGGCGATGTCTAACGTTAAAAATAAGCTTACGAAGCAAAAAAACAGAAACAATAATTGTACAATTTTTGAAAATCTAAATAGTACCATATAATTAAAATGAATTAAAATGAAATGAATTAACTTCTATATTTTTTTAATTGAAAACTCATGGAAAAATTCTGATTTTCACAAGTGATTCACTTGGGACATGTCCCTTGCAAGTGATTTCACAAGTGAAAACTCAAGGAAAAATTCTGATTTTCCCAAGTGTTTCACTTGGGACGTGTCCCTTGCAAGTGATTTCACAAGTGAAAACTCAAGGAAAAATTCTGATTTTCCCAAGTGATTCACTTGGGACGAGTCACCGGCACGTGACAGGCCATACGAAAAATGAGTATAAGGAACAAGTGAAATCCCGTAGGACTTCGAAAAATTTTCATTTGAATTTTCACTTGTGAAAATGCGGACATCCCATACAATTTTCTATATGGAGCGTCACTTGTTCTTCACTTGTGCAAGAGGACATGTCCCACGGGATTCACAAGGTGATTCACAAGTGAAACTTTTTTTTTGGAACTGAAGGGCTATAACACACTCAACTTCGTTTATCCCTCAAAAAATGAACATATATACGAATATTCCCTAGAAATACATTTAAGACTTTAAAATATCCATAGAATATATATATTTAAGAAATTTTTGCTACTTTAATAATTATTATAATCAGTACTTTAGTTCAAAGCTTACAAAGCGGTCGAGCAATTGAATGCCTCGACAAAAGTGGGCAAGTATCGCAAAGGATTAAAGGGTCTAAATATTGGGTTATAGGTATAGTAAAACATGCTACTAAGTTGATTCTGTGCGAAATGCACATAGAAAAGTTGTTTTAACGGCTTATCAGTGAAGCTAGGCTGCGTCTGGTCGAATCCTGATCCCTCGGAGAAATACGCATCCTGTACGAGATTCAGAAGCACTATTATGATGTCCCTCCAGTTGGTCATCTCGCATTCTCGTGGACTAATGCACCCGGAATGATCTTCATACTTTCCCAGGTCATCAAATATACCTACCAGTTCATTGTATTTCTGGCAGCCAGATGATAAAGGTAGTTTTGGATACGGAAATAGAGCCGACAACACTTGCTTGGCAATTAGAAAGCCATGTACGCTCACCTACAATTAATTATAATTATAATTATAATATTATAATAATACAATGGTATACCTTAAAGACGTCATGACCACGGGTGGTAAAAAAGGGCTCCTCCATGAGAGGAAATGGCAGTACGATAGATGTTCCATTGCCCACCAGAATGGCATGCTCTTCGTATCCCGGGTAGGGTTCGGTGAGTTCAAGATTCTCTAATTTCTGCAGCTTAAGTTGGGTCTCCATTTCAGAGACCTTCAAGTGAATGGTGGCAAAATCGTCGTCATCTTTCAGATTTATTCCCGCATAGAAGTCTGTTAAATAGCGACGATAGCCCTTGCTTTTGGGTACATTGCCTACACTCACAGTAACGGAGCTCAGGATCTTCTTTAGTGATAATATATAAGAGGTCGTTAGACTTAATCGATTTCTGTCTAGTCTTATTTTAAATTGTTTCCGAATCGCTTTGAATACCCGTTGTACTTGCTCATCGTATTCCTTTACTTTCTGCTGGCCCAAGAAGTGTTCCTCATAGAGTAGATAGCTGACAGACTTCATTGAGTTTTTCACAAGCCGGACACATACGAAATCATATTCCCTAATTGTTTCTATGCGATGAGATGATCTCATGAAATTGTCAAAAATCTGCATTAGATAAGTAGCCACAGTTTCTTGGTCGTAGGAATTCATTATTTGGTTGATTTTCACCAGGTATTCCAAATAGTCCACAAGCACTACGAAATTTGGAGGAAAAGAACGCCCGAAGACGATCTCTAGGTATTTTCTTATGGGAAATCCCTCACTGTCCAGCTGTTCAATGGTCATTCGGGATCTATCAAATCTTCCCTTACCGAGCATGTTTCTTATATCCATTTGTAGCCGGTTCATATCTCTAAACAAGAACTCAGATCGACTCCTGTTGAATCCCCGACTCATTAGCCAATCCACTTCACCCCAAATGGTGTAATATTCATATATAACAAAATCATGTGAGCCTAGGGATATCATGTACTTGCTGGCCTCTTGGTGATCCAACTCTAGGTTCATTCGAAACAACAGATCCATGCCATATCGACGTAGTCGGCCAAGGGTCACCAGCCAACTGAATTTCTCTCTTGGCCACTGATTTCCATGTGGCCAAGTGAGATCTACGTCCGGCTGCACTAGGCTGGCATAGTTTAAATCTGGCTCCTTCTCCATAGCGATTTCGCAGGCATTGTAAAGTTTAAGAGCCTTTTCCTCCAGACTTCCCTTTTCGAAGTTTCTACACTTGAGTTGTTCAAACAGTGCCAGAAACTTGGGGTCCATCTTCTCCAGCACCGCCAAGCGGAAATTGAAATCGCTGTACAAATCATAACTTTTTCCATATTTGCCCTTGGTATAGTCTTCGAAATTGCCGCAAGGGTCCTCTGTTTCATTCATAACGCGTAGTGTCTGGTCCATTATTCTTTTATTGGCAGAAAAGATGTCCTTATCCTGCTCCCTGGCCTCAAGTGACATTCCAAGGAGGAGCACGCAGCCCAGCCAGATGATTATTTCGGTGTGCCGCCTCATCTCCATCATAAAACTGGTCGCATTGCATCAAGTATCAGCTGTATTTATAACAGTCCCTTTATAATTGCAACTGATATAGAGGGTTTAATCGTATTTTATTTATAGCAGTCCCTGCAGAATGGCTGCTGATATAAAAGATCGGGGCTCAAATGTCAATAAACTCACTATACAATAAGGTATCATAACATTCCAAATTGATACTAATTTGTTACATTTTTTATTTGAAAGCACATTTAAGTACTAATCTATGTATTATACATTTTATATTTGTTCAGATTCAAAGACAATATTTGGCAGACTTAAGTTTGAAAGAATTTTTTAATATAATTTTAAAAGAGCCAGCGTGATATTTTAAAATAAAAATGTTTCAACTTTAACTGTTTACGAGGAGCTCGAACAATTAAAGGCCTCGGCGAAAGCAGGTATAGTGACCAGAATATTGTTGAAAGAACGAAATGCAGTGGAACGATGTAGGAACCTCTGAACAAATTGTAAAATAAAAAGCTGTTTCAGCGGCACATCGGTGAAGAAAGGCTGCGATTGGTCAAATCCTGATTCCGTGGAAAAGTAGGCATCGTGAACCAAACTTAGGACAACAAGATCCAAATTCATTAAGTTTATATGTTTAACGTATGGGTCGTCGTCGCAGAGCACTTCATTGTTGGTGAATGTATCGAGATCATTTAAGGACCGTAGGAAAATAGCGAAATTCTGACAATTGTAGTCGGCGTCCGAGGCTTGAAATGCTGCAAATACTTGTCTAGCAAGGAGTACGCCAATTGCATTGAACTACAATAAAAAAAAATGTTATTTAGGAATTTATTAAGGATTATTACGGATCTTGTATTTACCTTGAAGACATCGTGACCACGAGTCATAAATGAAGGTTCGAGCAAAGCCGCATAGGGAAGGTTGATTGTGTTGAAATCCATAACATTAGGGATATCCAAGGTATACGGATTAGACGTCACCGTATAATCCAATTTCTCCAAATGCCGACGTGTGCGTAACATGCTGGTCTTTAATAGAATGACGTGCAAGTCGTCATCGCGATCAAAGTCAAGATCTGCATAGTAATCTTTTACAAAAAGGCGATGATTCTTATCCTTTGGCATGCCCCCAACATTTACGGTAATTCTTTCAAGAAACTGCTGAAAAGCTAGTATCTTAGAATTCGGTAAATTCAGACGATTATTCTCCAATCTTTTCTTAAAAGACTTAATTATCGCTTCAAATATTGGAAGGACTTGAGATTGTAAGTCCTTCACTTTTTTCTCACCCAAAACATGTTCCTCAAGAAGCAGCATGCCGCCGAAATACATTTCCCTTTTTAGGAGACCCAAGCAATCCGATCGAGGTTTAAGCGAAAGCAGATAATCTTCGAAGCGTAACATAAAATAGCAGGTAACAGTCTCCTGACTGAATGTGTTTATTAAATGATTTAGTCTAACCAAATAGTTTACATCATTCACTTGCAACTGGAAGCTTGACGAAAACGGGCGATCAAAGACGATTTCGAGGTATTTTCTTAGCGAAATTCCATGTAGATTTTCTAGCTGCTGTAGAGTCAATCGCTGTGCAAAATCCGAACCAGTTGTATTCTCACCAAGAGTTTTTAGAGCTTTTTCAAGGTTTGATATATCTTCAGCGATAAACTCAGCCCGACTATTGTTGAACCCCTTTGGGGTCAATCTGTACTTGACATACCCTTCGGTCTGTACAAATTTGGGTTCTTTGATCGCCACCATGTACTTGCTGGCATCCTCGCTATCCACTGTGAGTCTCAGTTTAAGTAACAAGTCATCCATGCCATAGCGGGTCAATCGGGCGAGAGTAACCAGCCATTGAAAACGCTCCTTGGGCCAGTGACTGTCGTTGGGAGTATTATGTGGCCAGGGGAGATTGATGTCCGGCTGCACATACGCCAAAAGGTCAAGATTCTGTTCGTTGTTGATAGTAGTATTGCATACGTCAAACACCTTTAAAACCTTTTCCTCGACACTGCCAGATTCGTAAGTTTGAGACCTCAGTTTTCCCAACAGTGTAAGCCACTTGGCGTTCATTTTCTGCTCCGAAATGTGTTCGTCAAAATCTTGATTGAACCCACCCGACTCGTAAAATATTAAATATTCTTTGAAAACACATGGGTTTGCTATTCCGGTCTTGAGGCGCAGTATGTTGTTTAGGATTTCTTCATTCTGATTTAAAAACACCTTTTTCTCGGCAGCCACCGTTGATAGTCCAAAAAGGAAGAAACATCCGAGCCACGTAAGTGTTCTTAATCTCCCATCCATGTCTGAAGAAAAACTGATGAGCTAGCAAAAATGTGATGGAACTATAAGGCTGATTATATTTTAGTTCAGAAGAGCAGAATTCCCAAAAAAATTACTTTAATTCAAAAGCAGTTCTCTTAGCTCTTATCACAAAAAATGATGAGCCTCAAAATTTGCAGTCGAACAAGACAACTGATTATAATTTAGAGAAGAAGAGCAAGACCCAAAATTACTCTTTAATTTATATACAATGACCGCTTTTTTCCGTTTGTATAACAAGCTGATCAATGTGTGTGTGACGACACACTGTGCGTGTGGCGGCAGGGCTGTTCTTTTAGTTTTAATCAGATCTGATCCCCATTAAAAATGTATTTATTATCCTAACCAAAACAAATAGGGCGTTATCTTTGTTGTCCTTTATTTGAATGTAAGTATAAAATGCAATTGAGCAGCTATAAGCTGGTAGGTCATAAACACTAAATCTACGGGCACATCCCTTGTCTAAGTACAATGAACACTTCTGAGTTTGTTTAAGGCGCGCGCGTTTGGAACAAATCAACAACTTAATGCATATGGCATGGGCGAGTAAGGGCTGTGGATAGGGGCTCCGGACAGCTAGGAAATGTCTCTTAGCGTATTCGGCTTGGTGCCATCCATATCGAAGCAGCGGCAGTTGCACGACGACACGGGGCACTCTGAATTTTGCCTGTTAAACGAAAAAGTAGCTCAAAATTCAAGGTCAAAATTTCGCAATAATCGACGTTCAACTCACTTGAACCACTGCATGATGTGCTCGGTGTGACCGCCGTGGCGACAGGTCTGACACCAAGAGAACCACTTGGAGAAGGGCTTTGTCTGCCGGCCGGGAACTTCGGGCGTCGTATTTGAGGTCTCCCCAATACTCATGTTCACCATGGTGCCCATGTGCATCAGGCAGAGCGAGCAACGGGGCAGGGGCTTCCGGCAGCTGGGGCAGGAGGAGAGCCGATTGGTGCTGGTGGTGGTGCTCCGTGGCCGTGGCTCGTCCAACAAGGCATTCGACACAGACTTGCCGCAGAAGTTGCACGACAGAAATACCGTCCGAGAACTTCGTGAAGAGGCGCGTATGCCCTCGATCTTGATGTCCAGCTCAGCACGCTTCTCCCACAGACCCCAGCTGTTGAGGTGATCCAGATAGCTGGCAATCCAGTACTGGATGCGCTTGTCGGCGAAGTGCTCTTGCCGAAAGTAGTTGATGGCCACCAGGGCTACCGTCTAGGAAACAATGCATATCAACATAAATCGTATCTTCTTTCTAGCCAATGACCCCTCTCACCTGCACATCGAAGCTTGTGTCCATGTAGGATTGCAGTATGTTGATACCGTCCAATGATTCACCAGTAAGCAGCAAGCCATTCAGATCACCACCATCTATGGCCGCCTGGATCTGCTGCGTCACATAGTCAGCCAGCTTGGTCTCCGACAGATATTTGCAGGCGAAGGCCATGCGATCCGACAGCGAAACGCCCTCCTCCTTTAGCACCGCATCAAAATTATCCTTCTCCATGGTTAGGAAGGAGAAAACAGCCCTTAGATGTGGATCGTGTATCTGCATATTGGCGCTGGAGCGCTGATTCCGCCACGTGGAGCTGCAGCGATCTGCATTGAAGCTGGACAAGGCGATTACGGTGATCCTGTACATGCTGGGATCCCTCATGTTGTCCGCCGCCGAGGAAAGGATGTTGCAGGCGTGGAAGATTTTCAGGTGGAACACGCAGATCATGGCCGCCCGGCTGTACTCCTTGTTGGCGTACAGCTGGTCAATAAAGCGCTCCAGCTCCTGCTCGAAGGCCCAGCCGCAGAGCTGGAGGGCCAGGTCACGTTGCTCACTCCTGAAAGACATTTGGAATAAAGGACAATGTATACCGATCTCATTCATTGGAAACTTACCTGTAACATATCAGCTTATTGGAGTTATTGATGCCCTCTGGCCATTGGAGCACCTGAGATTCGATGCGGGAGCTGGCCATCAAGGCCTCCGAGGTGTGCCCCAAATTTACGCCCAGAGTGGCCTTTAAGCCCGTCAACCGATCCTCGGAGTAGACATTGTTCAGAGTGGACCACACGTTTCGCAGATACGGTGTCAAATGGAGCTCAGCAAATCGCTTGTTGTCGGGTTTAATGCCATAATCCTCTAGAGCACGTTGGCGTGTCTCATCCACCAGGTCGAGTTCAAAGAGTTCCGGCTCTAGCAGCTCCACACTCAAGGGTGAGCCACCGGGACTGCTGAGATCCAGGGAACTTCTGCTATTTGAGCTGCAGCTGCTCGTGGGCTGCTGCTGGTGGGTGGGCGTGACCGCCGTGGTGGAAGTCGGTGAGGCGGGTGTGTAAAGGGGACGCTGCATAAGAAGTGGCAACTGCCGGCGATTGCTATGCGCCGTGTGCAGAGTGGCTGGCAGTCGGAAATCCAGGATATTCAATGCATCCGCCAAAAGGAGAGCCCTCTCGAAATCTCTCGAATGCCACGACAGGCAATTGACAAAGGCAAACTTCCCACTGTGCTGATATTTAGCCGGAAAGGGGCTGATTTGTCGTTTCACGTGGTAAATCTCTCCGGAGTTCTCGGTATCCACACTGCGAATGTCGTAGAGGGTAATGTAGGAGGAATCCCTTTGCAGCGAGGAGAGCAGGCTCGTCCTGGTGGGACACCAGGCGATCTGCAGATGATTCTTCGAGGACTGGATCTGCCTGAGAGGGCTCTTGATATTTCGCGGATCCCACAGCGTTATCACTGAGTCCACATAGCTGCAGAGATAGTTGCCATTGGGGGACACCGAGAGTCCCTGGACTGTCTTTGTTTGAATGCTCTGGCAGGTGGCGTTGCTTTCTGTGGCAAGGATTAAGATTAGGTTAACTATTATAATGAGTTATTGTAAGGTCAGTTATAACTTATACTTAAGGCTTTATAACGTGTCTACAAAAGAGCTATCTAAAATGTGATACTATGACTAAACTGCCTGAATATACCCAACATAACTTCACAATTATGTTGATTTCAGCAGATAATTTAGCCAGATACATAAGGTTTATATATGATCTCTATAAACCGACTCACGTCTCAGATCGAACAGCTTGATCATCTTCTGGCTCATGCCCGCGATGACAGTGCGATGGTTGCGATCCCAGCAAATCGAGTTGGCGGACTCGCCGACGCCAAAGAAGTTGGCCGTCTCCTTGGGAACACCCCGCTCGATGTCCCAGATGGTGATGCATGTGTCATTCCGATGGCGATCGTGTCCAATGGCCAGGATATTGGCATCCAGTTCGTTCCAGGCGAGGCAGGTGCACATGCGCTGCTGTCGAGGGGCTGCAAGATGAAATATACCCATTAGGCAGAGCCAACAAGTGGTGTCCCTGGATCACCCACTATACTCCCAGCTGCTGTCGTAGGTGTCCCGGAAGTTGCAGATCCCGATTTTGCCATCCGCCAGACCCACTGCAATAATGGGCTGGTCACTGTGATAGGAGGCGGCCACGCAGCGGGCATATTGATAGTGCGATTCGTTGGCGAGGTAGTTCACGGATATATAAGGCAGGCGACCTGCAATATGTTGTTTGATTATAATCGAAATATGAAGACCTTCGAAGGGAAAACCTCACTTTTCTGGCTGTGATCATCTTTGCGGCGCACCTCGTACAAATGGATTTCCTGGCCCCAGGACACGAATTTGTCGGGAAAGTGCGGAAACCAGCTGAGTCCGTGTGTATTGCCGCTCATCGTGGCCGCTTTTCCATCGATATGAAAAACGAATTTTCACTGTAGAACTAAATTGCGTCGTGTTATCAGTATGCAAAAACAAAAACGTGAGATAAACAGTGCACTGAATAAGAAGAAGAAGATGCACACCCACACACACACTAGCCGGTTGAACAGCTGTTTCTTGATGTTTACCAACACTGTTTGTCAACCTGTTATCGAAGTTATCGCTACCTGCGTAAGCAATATTGTTTTATTTTTTAGAAAGCAAACGTGTTTAATTTGTTTTAACTCCCATTTATAATGCTACCCAAAACTCCCAAGCCAGCCATTTGGAAATTCATTAAGGGAAGTGCCAAGACCTTGTTTGTACTGGAGGCAGTTTGTTTTGCGGCCAGCTACGGTGTCTATTATCGCATGAACACAAATCGAGGTGAGAGGATCTTTATATAAGTATTCGGATTGTGAATAATTATCCTTTTTTCCAGAGTTCCGTCAGCATATTCACGAAAACTATCCCTTTGTATTGGATTACTACTACAAAATTGGTGAAATCGTGGGAGATAGTACAGTGCGACAGGCGGACGCGAGTTATTGGAGCGCCCTGAAGAAGAGCGATTAGGAGAGGAACCATTCAAAATGCTTAGTAATCCCTATTTTAAGTCTGTTTTGTGGCTGATTGGCTTCGGTGGCATGGGCTATGGGTTGATGGTGCTAACGGAGCCGAATGCCGAGAAAATAGAACGCATCAAAGCCTCTGTTTCCGGTGAGAAACTCAGCGCCGATGATCAGCGAAAGGCCCTGTTTATGAAGAAGCTGCAGGAGGCGGCCACCACCAGTGCTCCAGTCTACAGACCATCGACTGACAAAAAGGACAGTTAAGAAGCTTTACCTTGTACAATTTACCTATTTGTTATATTTTTAAATACAAATGTTAAGCATTTAATGTGTTTATTTGTGATGGGCAAGGTAACTCCGTTTTTGGGAGGATTCTTTATAGGTTTTTTTACATTTTTTAATCTACCATGCAATAAATATAAATTACATTTAGTGAAACATTTATATTTACAGTTAACCGTAACATTTGCTGTTAAAAATTCTTGACCACCCCTACTCAAGTGTTGTAAAACGCCTGCCAGTTATCAGCATCCATCTCATCTTAGCGCAATTGCATTTAAATGGAGAATTAATTGCCTTTAGTGACAGAGATTAAGGTAATAAAAACGCACATCATGTCCACGGAGAATGTGCCTTTGGTGGCCATGGCCAAAGTGCCACCGGCTATCCAGTTCGATGCCAAGAAGGACTTCCACACACGGACGCATCAGCAGGAGTTGGATGAAGCTTTTCTGGGAAACGAACGGCGTCCGTGGATCCGCCAAAAGGCTCGAAAGGACAGCCGTCGCGAGCGGGAGATCCTCAGTGGTCTGCTGTCTTCCACCAATGTGGAAATGGACTACGCCAGCAGCTGTGTGGACAAGCTGATTGAAGAGAATATTAGCTACCGGGACTTGGCCTCCCTCACCGACGAGGATTTGGAACTCTTTGGTTTCAAGTCCCAAACGCAGCGCAAACAGCTCCTGGAGATGTTCGACAAGATGCCCAATCAGGACCCCAGTTACGAGTACCTTCGTAGCCAACCGGAGGCCAAGGCCTATAACAATCAGATCCTAGGCAATGCCGGCAGCCATTTGATGTCCCTGCGCGCTTCCTTGGCGGTCACCAACTACAAGTTGCAGATCTCCACACCGGAGGACGTCGTCGTGGGCGACAAACGCTATGCTAGTTGCTTTGCCTTGGAAACCCTGAAGAGCGTCAAGCAGATCACGGAGGAGATAGCCCAGGATCTCAGGAAAATCGAAGCTAATGCGCAGAACGCGAGGAGCCAGAAAGAAGTCCAGGCCAAGGAGAGCAACAAGAAGGTTAATATTTCGTATTATAGATAGAATATGGCACAAGTTGGTTTTTAAGATTAAGAAGACCTCATTGTTTTATACAATCGTATATTTCCTTTTTTATAGAATACTTTCCTATTTTCTCATTACAGAAAAAGTTCAGCCTGGCCACCGTTTTGTACTTCACCACCTTGGCCGTGGGATTCTCGTGTGCCTGGTTCTGGTGGTGGACCAAGTTCCACAGCGCTCCTCGACTAGAGCGGATCTCGGTTCAGACTTAAATGAACCCACAACGAAGCATTTAATAGCTGCATTTCCACTTTCTTATAGTACCTAAGTTGATAGAATTTACATATATTTCGGTTAGCTTTCGCAAATCTCAAGCTGTAATGAAGTTTTACTGCCCACCATGAACATAAAAGTTGTATTAACAAGTTTAGAATTGATTTATTTATTGTCTTAAGCTGACTTCTTCTGCGAAGAGGAGAAAACCCAACTGGACATAGGAATCCACGTGCTCGGGAAACTCCCATAAAGTTGTGAACGCGATGAGCTGGCTTCTTTCAGTCGAGTGAGCAATGTTTTCTATAAAAATTAGAAAAGTAATAGGTAAAATAACTATTATTAATATTCAGGAATAGTAAGACATTTTGATAGAGAATGGATTTAGTACACAAAAATCGTTATTTGAAGTATACAGAGATTAGGAAAGCCATCTTACCGGCAACTTCCTTCTTGACTAGGGCCTCCTGTTCATATCTTTCTGCTAGTTCTTTGGTGAAGGCCACGAATTGCGGCAACTTCCAGGACCTATAGAATATCGTATCTGCTGTAGCTCCTGGTAGTTTACTTATAGCTCTCAGCTGCCTCAAAATCTCCTTCGTATTATTGGCTATATCCCTGAAAATCGAGGCAATGATGGCCAACTTGTTGCACGGCAGAAGCAGATCATCCGGATAACTGGAGGTTACCACATCATCCTGGCTTTTCTCAAGGCACTTGGTCTTCTTGGCCTCGATGGAGTAGCAAATGGCGGTGCCCCGCTGCTGGGCCAATTGCCATTTGGCGTAGTTATCCTGCAGTTGTTTAACGATGGTCTCCAATCTCGTTTTGCAGGTGGCCAAATTGGAATCATGACTTGTGGGCGATTGCAGACGGGGGCTGTCCATATCTGCTTGAAATATATATATTTAATGATTATCACATATATTTTAAGATAACTCACATCGAACTGGTGTCAAGGAGGCATTTATATTGGGTTCACCGGCTTTTTGTGGGGTTTTATTCGCTTTGGTCATTTTGTAAACAATGTGAAATGTTGTTTACCTCATTCAGTGAATACACACCTCTTTTCTGAAAAATGTTAAGCAAATGTTAGATCAGCTCTAGCGTTTTTCAACACTCAATAATTTAAACATCGATAGGTTTTAATTTTAAAATATTTTGTATTGGTATTTAAAAATTAATTAAATACAAAAGTAATGAAATAATCAAATAGATAAATTAACAGCTTGTATTTTCCCTAGTTCACACACAAGTTTCATTAAAATATAAACGTTTAAACATAAATAAAATAACCATCGATAAGTCATATAAAACATCGATATATTTTGACCGAACCAGTGCTTACACACCCCAGTCAACAAATTTTAAGCTCACAAAAGTGCCGGTAATTGTCTAGACAAATCCTTCATTTTCCTTTGAATTTTCACTCAGAACGCAAGTAAAGCTAAATTCCAGAAAAATGTCGACCTGGACGCCTCTTGAATCCAACCCCGAGGTAATAAAATTAGCCATTTAAAGCCGACATTTGGTACTTGCAGCTTTTGCAAACTCCTTTGTGGTTGCTTTTGCGAAAATGTCGGTTTCCTTTCGGAAAATAAGTGAAAAAGAAAAGACGCCATTAAATTTTCCCATTCCCAGGTTCTGACCAAGTACATACATAAACTGGGCGTGTCCCCGGCCTGGTCGGTAACTGACGTCATCGGTTTGGAGGAGGACACTTTGGAATGGATTCCGCGTCCCGTGAAGGCGTTCATTTTGCTCTTCCCATGCAGCGAATCTGTGGGTGTTTTTTCGAATATCTCTAATTTTCCTTTATAACTTGGGTTCTGTTTTCAGTATGAGAAACACCGCGCCGAGGAGCACGAACGTATTAAGGAGGTGCAGGAGCAGCATCCCGCCGATCTCTTCTACATGCGCCAGTTCACCCACAACGCCTGCGGCACCGTGGCCCTGATCCACAGCGTGGCCAACAACAAAGAGTAGGTTGAACCATAAAATAAAATTTGTTAATATTTTCTTTGTTCTTATATTTTTAAAAGATCAGAAGTAATCCCATGATTTTGGTAAAATGGCTTAAGTTATTGGACGAGATCAATTTAACTGTCCATAATTATTTCACTATTATTTGTACAAATAATTAGAAAAACATTTTATTTTTTAACCCTTAAGAACACTTCAATCAAAAACATAGGAATACTAAAGAAAATTTATTTAGTAAACAGACACCAAAGTCTGATAATCTCGTTTTTCATTAAAATAATATTTCACTACCCCATTTTATTTTACAATGCCATTAAACTTTAAATGGTATTTAATGCTATTCAACTAAACTAGCAATACCAAATTATTTGAAACTCTAAAAGTCAAACGTAGTTAATATAGACAACCTTTGTTATGGCATTTTTAATTCTTTTGTTATTATTAATCACTTTCTCTAATATCCAAAACACCTTTGTATCTCCAGAGTTGACATTGACAGCGGTGTACTGAAGAGCTTCCTGGAGAAGACAGCCTCGCTTTCGCCGGAGGAGCGTGGCAAGGCCTTGGAGACCGACCAGGAATTCACCGCAGACCATCAGGCTCTGGCCCAAGAGGGTCAGACTAATGCCGCCGAGCACGAGACGGTGATCCATCACTTCATCGCCCTGGTGAACAAGGAGGGCACTCTGTACGAGCTGGACGGGCGCAAATCCTTCCCGATTAAGCATGGACCGACTTCGGAGGAGACCTTCGTCAAGGATGCGGCCAAGGTGTGCAAGGAGTTCATGTCCCGTGATCCCGACGAAGTGCGCTTCACCGTTCTGGCTCTGACTGCTGCCCAGGATTAGGCTGGAACTAATCTCATAGCTAACATACCACCAAGATCCGCCGATCTGCCAGAATATACATTTATTTACCCACACTATATTTAAGCCGGCTGCAAAAGGCGAACGAAGCCCCGCCTTTCAGTCGGCAAACAGTTTACGCATATTTATTTTGCCTTGAGCCAAAGCCACAAATGTATTGGGAACACTGAGATTGTTATTAAAGAGTGCACTCGAGCTTGATGCTAAGCTTATAATGAAAACTATAAGAAGTTTACCTGTGGGTGTGAAAGGCGAAATTACATATTCCTAAATCAATTGCATTGTTATATGGTATCACCATAAAAATATCCCCCTTTGTCCAGCACCCCTGTCCAAACAGCTGATAACGTGGTAGCCCCCAGTGCGCATGCCCTGATAATTGGACGTGCTCCACGTAAACTCTTGAACCAGGTTTTTCTTCATCAAGTTGTCAGAACTTTTTCCTTGTGAAACGGAGCTATTCCCAGGTTTGTTCAGAGCTGGAAAGGAATATAACAAAGCTATCTCATCAGCAGGAATCCTCCAAGAGTGCCGCCCAACGAGTTGATGCCGAGGAGGAGCAGTGGAGTTAGGGGGCAGCAGGTAAGAGCCGGATTTTCTGGCCAGGATGAGGCTGCTCAAGGAACTGATGCGTGTGGCCACCCAACATCGTGCCTTCTACTGCTATGTGTTGCTCAGCGTCTGGATATTCCTACTTATAGCGGGTGAGTAATAAGTATAAAAAATATTTTCTTGATGAAAGAAACCCATATTATTAACATTCAAGTTGCAAAAAAGTGATTGTCTATACCACATAATCTTAAAAAAGTGTTTAAAATATGGTTTCAATTAAACATTAGCCAGTGATTTTTATGAACATCTTTTAAATCCCTTAATTTATGTTTTCAGGAATGTATCGCTACATGGGCAATGTTGAGTCGGTTTCAGGAGGTGGCTCAGTTTTTGGACCCAGTTCTTCCGGCACCATCAGCTCCTTGGGCGGCGAAACCTTGGCATCCTCCACTGCTCAAAGATTTGCCAAGTACAGAGAACGCTGTGCTCCACTGCCTCAGCTCCAGCGTTTGGATGATGGCGGCATCTTGGAGGGTTGGAAGCTTCAGGGAGTGCTGCTGGTCATTAGGCACGGGGATCGAGGACCCATATCCCATGTCCGAAGTGCTGGCATCAATTGCGGCGTGGGTGGTGGTGGCACAGATAACCTAGTCAACAGGTGGGTTTCCTTGCTCCTCCCTAAAACAGAAATCAATGATTTAAAGAATTTAATTGTAGATATCGCAGCTTTTTGTACAACTCGAGCAGCTCCGCTTCGGGTTCGAATCATATGTACTGGAACAAGGTTGGACCTTTTCATGGGTTTCCCCTGCTGCCGGCCACAGAACGTGGATGTCCCCTAGGGCAACTAACTTACAAGTGAGTGGAGGAACAGTATTTGATAGCTATTTTAATTGAACATCCCGTTTTTATTTGCCAGGGGCATTTCGCAGCTGCTTCACGTAGGCGACATTATGCACCAGGTTTATGCCCATCCTCTGGGTCTGCTGCTCAAACCCAATCCCAATCGTGCTTCAGTGGAAACCACCCCTCACACGCTTCTGAATTCGGATGAAGTGGTGGTCTTCACCACTCGCTATCGTCGCACTTTTCAGTCGGCTTTAGCCATGCTGTTCTCCCTGCTTCCGGCGGATAAATGGTTGGCTCTGAATGTCCGGGAATCTCACAGCATGGCTTTCTGTTTTGGGGAATGCAGTTGCCCACAGTCGGCCCTGCTCAGGAAACGTTTGGAGGCCATGGGCGATAAGCAGCTACTGAAACGTGCCGATGTACTGGAAGTGATGCAGTGGATAGGAGGCACCATTCTGCAACACACTCCCAATGGTATTAGTAATCCCTTCGAAGTGGTGGATGCCCTGCTGACCGTTCTGTGCCATGATGCTGCTCTGCCATGTCGCAGGAAAAAGCAGAATTCCACACCAAAACCACTTAAGAAGAACTCCAATCAAGAGCTGGTGGATGTGATTAACATAGATCAGGATGAAACGGCTGCCAATCTGTTACAGGTAAGTACTTAAGAACTTATTATATAAGGCTTTTTATAACTAGCTATCTCTAGGAAGGACAAACCCAGCTGGAGCCCGACTCCCCCGAGGTGGAAAATGGAAATCCTGCCCTGCAGGCAGATGAATCACAAGAGGGCTGCGTAGAACCCACCCATGTGGACACCCTGATGTCCTTTGCCGATGAGCTTTCTCAACGCTCCGCTGGCCATTCGTACTACAAGCTATCCGGACTGCTACGATCCTATGGAATGATCCGTCACATAGTCAGCTATATGCTGAAGATGATCTCCGGCGATAGGACAAAGTTTGTGCTATATTCTGGACATGATTGCACTATGCAATATCTAACGGCTGCCCTGGGAATCATTACCAGCCAGGGTCAAACTATAGCCTATGCATCGAGACTAGCTTTCGAAGTTTATCGGAGTGAAGCGCACACGGATTACTATTTTCGTGTGGTTTATAACGGCAAGGACGTCACCCAGCAAATAGATTTTTGCGAGGGCGGAAAGAGCCTACGGGTCACGAGGGATTCCAGGGGAAATAAAGCCGATCTGTGTCCCATAGAGAACATCATTCGCTTTCTGCACGAGGACTACTTTAGTCCACTGAATGCCACCAATTTTAAGGAAGCTTGTGGGGCTATAAATCCGCCAAAAGCTGGGGAGTTTTAGTTGCCCCAGGAGGGGGAAAAGTAGGAGATCCCGTTTCAAACTGTGATAAGTAGTTAAGATGCCACCCGAAAATGGAGGAGTACGAGTCCAGCAATATCCTAAACTAGGAAACGACCGCTTTTCAGCGATGTTATCTTTTTAAACTTAGTTGAAATTTAGTTGACGCATTCAACTTGTTGATCCACAAATCGAAAACGATACATATCAATGGAGCACTTGTTAGCCTTTAAGAACTTATAAGCTAAAACTCTCACTTTTAGAAGAAAAAATGAAAAATAGCATCATAAACATATCAGCTTTTTAAAGTAAACTATAAAATTTAAGGAGAAACCTTCAACGATTTTAAAACATTATAAAAAAAATACATATCAAATTTGAGAAGAAAACGAGTTCTTCTTACATAAAGTAAAAAACTTTACAGAATAAGAAAATATATAATTTAAACGTGGAAAGATGAGGAAAAACATGTCCACAAAATGGTAGGCTCTAATTTTGAAACGTATATACAATTAAATGATGGAATTGGAAATATCATAACAAAAAGAAACGCAAACATATCAACAGAAAATGAAAGAAACTTTTTAAATAAGAATGTAAAAAATATAATCTACAAAAGTTTTGAATTTAAATAAATGTTCTCGAATTTTAATATTAGTATTCATTTATTAAACCCATTGGGCGGATCTAGTCTGGACCAAAGTTGGGAAACTTTCTTTGAAGTTTCTATTTTATGGTTTTAAATTTATTTTCTTGGAAAGTTTTCCACATATTGTTTGAGCGTCTTATATATTTATATAGTGATTTACGACTCTTGGTGATTTTAAGACCGTGGACCGAAAAGATAGTTTTATTTATAGAGCAAATTAAATGGTGCACTGAAAATTATTATTGGTTACAGCTAATATACATTAAATCGTAGTTTAATTATGGCCGGCAATATTGGTGTCTTAAATCTAAGTAAAAATTTTGATCAATAACATAAAAATAAAAACTTTAAGGAATATAAGTAAAAACAAAGTCTAAAGCAACGTTAAATTTTCTATGTGTATGTAGTTTTTGAAAAGAGAGAAATATTATTTTTTCACACGAGCTTCTCTATATCACGACGGAAATAGTGCTCTAGCTAACACAACCCGAATCGCTGAATATACAATTCAAATTAAGCGCTCAATGGAAGCGGTAAGAAATCTGTTGTTTAACCCCTTAAAGTCAGTATCTAGAAACCCCTTATCTTTGTGTGTACTCTACCAATAAAAAGGCATTGATGAAAATCTTTAGTGTTTGATAAGGTGATTATAACCCTCTCTCTATAGTGGCCCTAGATAACGATTTAAGACCAAGTTTTGCCAGTCTCAGCTCCCATTGCCATGTTTTATCCACATTATAGCAGAAGATGCCGGAAAGTATGGACAGCTATAGATTCGGAGCCGTTGACTACACTGTGCTCCTGGGTGTGACCATAGTATCCATCGCCACAGGACTTTATTTTGGGTGGATAAAGTAAGTAGGATCTATAAAAAGAAATATTTGTTATTATTGTGATAATATCGAAGTTTATTTTAAAATTAATTATTGGTTTTTAAAATCTGCAGAAAATACAAAAAGAATGCAGAAATCACCACGCCAACCGTTGTTTCTTCAGAAGAATCCATGGCGAACTTGGGATCGGAAAAGATGAACGAGTATCTCATGGGTTCGCGCAATCTGAAAGTTGTTCCGGTTGGAATGAGTTTAATAGCCAGGTGAACTGATCAAGATCGAATCTTGTATTTCTCTTATGTTTCATTCTTGTTTCCAGCTTTATTTCGGGCGTTGCAATGCTGGGAACCCCTTCAGAGATTTATTATTATGGCACACAATACAGTCTAGTTGTCGTAGTAATTGTCATTCAAGGACTAGCTGTTTCCTATATATATTTGCCTGTGTTTTCGGTACTTCGAGTGTGCTCGTCATATGAGGTTAGTGCCCTTGGAGTTTTTATATAAATGATTTTATCATATTCTGCAATATCTAGTACCTCGGGAAGCGCTTTCACTCGATTATACAAAGCATAACTTCTATACTATTCGTCATCGAAGGGGTTAGTTGAACTTAGTTAAGCAAAAAAATTATAACTTTTACTAATAAATAAGCCCTTTCAGATACTATATATGCCATTTCTTGTCTACGTTCCTGCTTTATCGATAAATCAGGGTAAGTTTTATCTAAATAACCTTTAAATAAGTAGCATACACGCATTTATTTTTTCTTCATCACAGCTTCCGGTATTAATATCTATATAATACAAGCGTTAATTGTTGTGGTGTGCGTTATTTATACCATGTTGGTAAGATATTTTTATATTTATTCTTAATTTGTGTACTGTATTATAATCGATGAAACACTTTACCCGAAGGGCGGTCTAAAAGCAGTAGTCCATACCGATATCTGGCAAGTGGTAATCATGTTTCTATCTGTTCTGGTTGTCGCCATACTTGCGACCTTTTATATACCCGACCTAGATGAATTATTTGTTAAATTGGAGGAAGGAGGACGACTTACGTTTGGCAACATTGATACATCGCCATATGTCCGTAATACAGTTTGGTCTGTCCTAATCGGTGGCACTTTCTACTGGACCTCAAATAATGCGGTGCATCAGGCGATAGTCCATCGTTATATGTCCTTGCCTTCTTTACAAATGGCCCGAAATTCCATTGCCTTTTTTGTGATTGGGGCTGTTATATTTTATGCCCTTCTTTGTTATTTGGGAATGCTAATCTTTCACATGTACAAGGATTGTGATCCATTGAGCGCAGGACTTATACAGGTTTGTATGCAATATTTAAGAAATAACTTAAGTAATGCTTTTTTTTATTTATCTGAGCAGAATAACGATCAGCTTGTGCCGCTCTTCGTGATTCAGAGCGTTGGCCAAATCTATGGAATCCCAGGTCTATTTATAGCCGGTATCTTAGGAGCTGGCTTAAGTTCCCTATCTGTGGCCTTCAATTCTACTTCCCTAGTGGTTCTTCAGGATATAGTCCGTGGCTGTCTCAAAATGAAGCCAGGCGAAAAGGCATCTGCAATTATTGTTAAGTCTAGTATTGTTATAATGGGCCTTATAGCTTTTGGTTCACTATTTATCGTGGAAAAGGTTAGTGGCATCCTGAGCATCTGCGTATCGCTAATGTCCACTGCAACTAGTTGCTCTTTTGGAATATTTAACTTGGGAATGTTGGTTCCCTGGGCGAATACCGTTGGCACGCTAGTGGGAGGACTCTGCGGATTTCTCTTAACCGGATGGATAACTTTTGGATCGCAAATCGCTGTGGCATCAGGTAAACTAAGTCTCCCTAAACTTCCTGTGTCCGTTGAAGGTTGTGTGGGCAATGTGACCATCCCTGAAAATGTTTGGGTGGACGAGGAGGATGTGTTTCCACTGTACCGTCTTTCGTACCTTTGGATAAGCCCCATTGGAGTTCTAACAGTTGTCGTTGTGGGTGCTCTGGTCTCTCTCGTGACCAAACCCACAGATATCAGGACTCTCGATTCCAAGTTGTTATCTCCAGTGATCCACAGGTAAAATAAGTTTAAATTAATTATTTAGATGGTCTGATAATATTTCTTTAATTTTCAGATTTCTTCCTAAAGAATGTTTCAAACATCCCGAGAAGGCAACCAAGGATATTTCCAGTATCACTTAAGATTAAATACGTTTGAATTTGGAATAAATGCACTCTATACTATATTTTATTTTACCTCCTAAAATAAAAAAACTTAAAAAGTCAACTTAGTTAATGCATTGTAGAGTTATACAGAAATCCATTTGACTTTGAAACATACCACTACCAAGATATACGAACTATTTTCGATTTTAGACACCTTAAAACAAGAAATATTTATACAAATGTATTTATAGAGAAAAGAAACTTTGGTCTTTCTCTAATGAGCTTCTATCTACCACTTCCCTCGAATAGATAAAAGTATACAATTTTAAATGGCAAAACTATGAATGACAATTTATAATTCACATTAAAATCCAAAATTTTTTACGTTGAAGCAGAGCACGCTTCTATAATAAAAGCGTACAAACTCTATAAAAATAGTATTTTTAACCATCAATAAAATAAAAATAGGCGTTTAGATAGGAGATTACTGTTTAGATGTACTTTTATAGCGTCTACTCTAGATAACGTATCTCAGATAACCCTTTAACGCTTTTTCGAATCTCCACGTGCCATTTAAATCATTTCAACCGTCATTACAGAAGAAGAAACCGCCAAGGATGGACAGTTACAGATTCGAGACCGTTGACTACATTGTGTTTCTCGGTGTGACCATAATATCCATCGCGATAGGTCTGTATTTCGGGTTCATAAAGTGAGTAAGGGTGTAATACCTTTCAAAATCATATCGACCAAACCTATTAGCTTGTTTTTTGTTTGATAAATATAGAAAAACCAAAAAGGAATCGGAACCTACGCCGCCTGCAAGATCCCTTCAGATCTTTGGATCGAAAAAGATGGACGAGTATCTGATGGGATCGCGCAATCTAAAAGTTTTCCCCGTTGGAATGAGTTTGATAGCCAGGTGAGCTAATCTGTGATCTTTTTTAAAATTCTTTTCTTATTTTTATAACTACAGCTGTTTATCTGCCATTGCAATAATAGGAACTCCTTCAGAAATTTACAACTATGGCACCCAGTATTGTCTTACTGTTGTAGCAATTATTCTCCAAGGGCTAGTCGTATCCTATGTCTATTTGCCTGTGTTCTCGGCTCTTCATGTAAACTCATCGTACGAGGTACTGACATCCAAAATATGATGTAAAATTCTCTAACTTTCTCTGTAATATCTAGTACTTGGGCATGCGTTTTCACTCGGTTATTAGAAGCATAGTTTCGATCATTTTTGTACTAGATGTGGTTAGTATAACTTAGCCACAAAAATATTGACTAATACTGATACTAATAAATAAAGCCATTTCAGATTTTATATTTACCACTTTTAGCGTATCTTCCTGCTCTAGCTCTGAATCAGGGTAAGTTCTAAATTTGAAATCTACAACATAGGTTACCTATATTATTTTTTTTTACAGTATCCGGACTCAATATATATGTTATAGAAGCTTTAACTATAGTGGTCTGCGTTATCTATACTTTGTTGGTAGGAAGGTGTATTATTTATTTATACTTATAAGTTCATTTGGGGATACTATACTTGCAGGGCGGCCTAAAAGCAGTGGTCCATACCGATATCTGGCAGGTTGTGATCATGTTTGTTTCTGTTCTGGTTGTAACTATTTTGGCAACATGTTACATCGAAGATGGGGATGCCTTTTTTGGAGTGTTGAAGCAGGGCGGACGTCTTATATTTCTTAATATTGATCCCTCTCCATATGCTCGTCAGACCGTTTGGAGCGTTATAATCGGTGGCACTTTCTTTTGGACCTCACTTAATGCGGTAAACCAGACGGTGGTTCATCGTTATATGTCTTTGCCTTCTTTGAAAATGGCAAGAACTGCTATCGCCTTCATGGTAATTGGAGCAGTCTTCTTTACTTCCGTTGTTTGCTTTTTGGGATTACTTATCTTTGATGCCTACAAGGATTGTGATCCGTTGAGTGCCGGTTTAATTATGGTAAGTAGAAAATTAGACTCACTAATTTTGATTAAGTTGTTATATCGTTGATTCCTTGCAGAACGACGACCAACTGGTGCCCCTTTTCGTGGTAAACAATTTGGGCCACATCTACGGAATGCCCGGTCTTTTTATTGCCGGTGTCTTTGGAGCCAGTTTGAGTTCCCTCTCCGTGTATTTGAACTCCACGTCGCTAGTGATTCTTCAAGATATAGTCCGTGGTTGTTTTAAAATGCAGCCAGGCGAACGGGCATCGACGATTGTGGTAAAGTCTAGCGTCGTTATCCTGGGAATCGTATCATTTGCAATGGTATTTCTCCTGGAGAAGGTGAGTGGGATCCTTAGTGTCTCCATTTCGTTAGCGGCCCTAGCGGCTAGCTCCACCTTTGGAATCTTTACCCTGGGAATGCTGGTTCCCTGGGCGAATACCATGGGCGCAGCTGTGGGAGGAATCACCTGTGTTCTCCTAACAGGATGGATATCTTTTGGATCCCAGGTTGCTGCGGCATCCGGACAACTAAATTCCCAACGACTTCCGGTGTCCGTAGAAGGATGCTTGGGTAATGCGACAATCCCAGAAAATGTTTGGGTGGACGAAGAGGATGTGTTTCCACTGTACCGTCTTTCGTACCATTGGATAAACCCCATAGGAGTTCTCACAGTTGTCGTTGTGGGTTCCCTGGTCTCTCTAGTAACTAAACCCACAGATATCAAGACTCTCGATTCGAATTTGATATCCCCTGTAATTCATAGGTACTATACAAATTATTAAAATTTTTAATTTTACAAAATATATTTATTAATATCTTACATTGTAGATTCCTTCCAAAAGAATGCTTTAAAGTGCGGAGTCATCCCGAGAAGGATATATCCAATACTGATTAAATTTTAGTATAACTAGTTTACTAAATAATAGAAAAGTCACATATAGTTTTAAAAAACAAGTATTTCTAAAAATGTACACGGCTTTCGGATTGTAATATTAAGTATTTTTTTCAATTATAAATCTCTTAGACTTTCCCTTAGTTTTTAAGAACCCATCTCTTTCAGAACCGTAAAGAGAGAATGCAAATGCACTTGCAATTTTGGTCAACTGCAGTGCATTTCGTTGACTCTTTCTCACACAGACACGAAAACGCATCATCAAAGCAGCAACAAAAACAAGAATGATAAAGCAAACGAGAGCAAAGACCCCGCCAAAGGCGAACCACACAAAAAAAAACACAAAAGAGGGGAGTGGAGTGGAGTCATTATAATCCGTGGGGGAGAGGGAAGCTCCAAGAGTGGGGAGAACCAGAGCGCAAGTATAACGCACACACTCGCACAGTGGGTGAGGAATGGGGAAGGAGAGAGCGCGAGGGGGAGGGGGCATCGCGCAATGAGCGCGTGTACCGTACTGAGAACAGCGTAATGTAAAATCGTTGCTCTCCACGAAACTGAGAGCCTGTTGGCATTCAGTACATTTTGTTACTTTTGTGCACGCAGCTCGACAAAAGAGGAAAAAAGAAGCAACAAAAAACCAGCAGGAGCGGCACATTTACAGGGGGGGACTATGGGCTGGCAGGAGAAGGTGGAGTTGTAATATGGACACTGGCTTACTCCATCTTATTTGGATTTTTTTCCTCTTTTTAATCCCATCCCCCTTACGAGATCCTGTAAAAAGCAGCAGCGTACATATGTGTCGTAATGGACCCTAGGGGCAATCTTCGCTCGCATGGTGCATGGTTGTGTTACATTGGGAAAAGGAGCCCAGATTTCGCAGCCAAGCGATGCAATTGCAAAAAAAAGCATGAGCGTGCGAGAGAGAGAGAGAGAGCTACGCTTCGAAAAAACACAAAAAGTGGGCGGAGCAGGTGCGCCCACCGTTTCGCGATGAGATTTTTGCACAAATCTGCGATACAATGTTAACACACACCGTACACCACTGTGTATGCACCAATACGCGTGCAGCGCTGAATGCTTCCCTGCTTTTCTGTACGCCGCTGAGTGCGCCTTCGTCTTCTGGGCTGTTTTCGTGTTTTGGCGAGTGGGGGCACAGTTTGCAGCCTGCACTTGGTGGGCAGTTTCGAACCGATTCCGATGCACTTGCACTGCCCTCGACCCCCTTGCCACCACCCCTGTCTTTTTTTCGTCTGGCTCCCCCTATCGCCGTCTCTGTCTCGCTTGACTGCAGTTACACATGCAATGGGAGAGGGAGAGAGTGGGTTCGGAGAGGAACCATGCACTCGCACAGTGGGTCGTACGTTGTTAAACTATCGTAAAAAGATAAACAAATATAAATATAATACTGATTAACAATGATTAATATATGTATCTAGTAAAGTAGTCATCAAAACTTAAAAATAAAAATGTTAGTTGGAAAACAGGTCGTATACGTAATATTACAAAATATTCACGAATAAACAAATAAAAATACTTTGAAAACTGATTTACAATGATTAATATATCTAGTAAAAGAGTCATCAAAACTTGTACAAATATACATTTTACTTGGTTAATAAGTCGTATACGTAATATTACAAAATGTTCATGAACAATGTACTCAAATTTTTTTGGGAATTGGGATTGGCCTGAAAGTTTTTTGTTAGTATGAAATCTATTTTTAACACTAGAGAAAATATGTTTTCCTATTAAAGGTTTTAAACGACATATGTTTGCCTAGGCTTACTAGTCGTATGCGTAATTTTTCTGTTTACAAGTTTGTATTTAGCTTGTAGTAAATTATGTTAGGAACTAGTTGTAAATTAGTAATAACTGTTCAGAAAGAATAAACTCATGTTTTTTAAAAGTTCTAAGCTATAATAAATTAAGTTTAATAATTAAATATATATTTTTATTTCCAAATTCAACTTGGTTCCGACCCCACTGTACCAAGGCAATCTTTAAAATGCATTGCTCTTTTGCTCTTTCTTTCGTTCTGTTAATCTCCACCTCGCTTGCTCGCATGGAAAAAGGCAACAACTCACACGCACACCAACGCAAAACTGGGGCAGTGACTGCAGTGCGAGAGGGAGACGGCGAAGGGGAACCGTTGGCGCTGACTGCTCGCCATCTCCCTCCCTCCCTCGCCATGCATTTTTATTTCGTTACACAAGCATTTCATTTCGTTTAAAGCAGAGGAGCCGCTTTTGCATCGGTGCTGCGCCTCTGTTA